TCAAGCCTCGAGCTTCAAGCCCTATATTCCACTAGAAACCTGAAGGGAATAAAAAAATAGCCTCAGACTAGTCGCGGTTAACGTCTAACTGATTTCAGTAGACTACTAAATCTCCAGTTAAGAAACTGAATAATCCACTCACATTCAACCTTTGTATATACCTTCCTAACATGTCTATCTCTTCATATGTCTCTGCAATCCATCTGGTTCAACCAGCAGGAAACATGTAGCTTACATTCTATTTTCCGATACTTACTTTAGCTTGCATCGAAAGAATGTTAATCAGTCAAGGGATTCGCAAAATCTTCAAACTCCTACTCTCATCCATCCTGAAACTTTCAAGTCTTCTACCTTTTAACTGAACGATTGGTTTGTTTATTCATTTGCCCGGAAACTTCAGTAGCGGAGAAGTAGCTATATCTCCTGGTTTCATTGCTTCTTTTAGGTCAAGCTCAAAAAACTAAGTGGTCTCCACTGAGAAGTGTTGTCAGTTTACAGTTTTCAAAATGATCATGATAACTATGCTATTATATTTGAATTCATTTCGGACGGTCCACTTTATTTGCTTTTCTCAGTGACTGAGAAGTATGAAGATATTTGTGATATCATTCCATTCATGCCGTTTAATCAGGCAATTCCCATGAAGTATCCACTCAAGACAATGTTAGAGGTAAAAGAACGGTTTAGAAGATTTTGTAAGTAAGTGGTTAGGCTATTGATATGCTACACTATGTCAGCCTTACCGAGATTGTAGTGTGCCTAATTCGCAGCGTAAACAGTGTAATATCTGACTTTTAAGTAATGATAATCAAAAAATCTCAGTTAATTGGAAATCTGAGCTACATATTTCAACAGAAATGAAAGTTAAATCTATTTAGGTAAAAGTTATTAGACGTTATTTGGTGAATATTCCTGAACTATATATTCTGGTAGTAAGATTGTTATTAACAGGAAGGAGTAGACTGAAATGAGTTCAATCTCAGACGATTGTATGTTCGTTATAACGAAACTTGAGGCACGTGGGCTAGACTTTGATTTAGTTAGTGTTAGGTCGATTCCGTTAGACCTGTTTAATTCTGGAAAAAAACAAATTCAGTGAAGAAATATATTCCTTATCAAATAGTTCCTCATCACTGGCTCAACGCCAATATATAGTTTGTTTGCATGAAATTATGGTAATCAATTGGTTATTTTATTTTCAACACTGTCTGAAAAGGTCCTTGGAAAGAACTGCTTAAGCTAAACTGTTTATTTACTAGCCAAGCAACCAATACTCAGTTCAAGAAATAAAGACAAACTGCCCTGTTTAGCTTCTTCTATATGTGTTGGCCAGTTTGACTACTTGTGACGAGCCAGTTACATTGAGCGTAAGACTAGGATTTGGTTCGAAGAAATGTTTAGGTGGCTAAATTTTATCTCATTACGTGGTTACTAGACATCAAGGTGACTCTAATGAAGCTTTGTAAGTCATTGAACGTATTTCACCGAACCATTCAAATTGCTGTACTAGGACGACTATCAAATACAGCTGAGGTAATGAGAATTAGTTTGATTAAGCCAAATCTGTGTGTGGCTGCAGATTCTTTTATTGCTGTGGATAACTACACGATATGTATTAACCTTCAAAAATGGATTTTTCGCCTCCTCTTGTAACAACATTTTCTCTCCATTTATTTTATTATGATTACAACTCTGGTGTATTCTTTTAATTAATTTTTACCTTATCTGATACTACTGGCTCAACCTATTCTTTTACTCCAACATTTTACTGATAAGGATTATGGGAATATTAGTGTGTCGGGTTTAGTTCGACTGAATGAGAGCATTTGTTCACGACAACGTATTAGATATCAGACAGAGAGCTTATTTCAAAAGTATATCTAAAATATATCTGATAATGCATTAAATTAATGACTGAGACATTCCATTGTATAAATCACACTTTGTTACAGTTAAACGTAAAAAGAAATTAATTACGTGAAGAGCACATGAACACACGAAAACATAGAAAATCACTTGGTTCAAAAAACACAAAACGATGATTTTAAAAGAAGTGATACGAGCAGCTGTTATTTTTAGGCAACTCAAATGAAACAGAAAGTGTCAGTTTAAGTCAACAGTCAGTGCATTCCGTGATCTAGAAAAAACACAAAAGAATATTCTGGTTGTATTACAGAATTGATATAAAAATAAAACTTGTGCATTGTCATAGATTATAATTCCATCATGGGTAAATTTTTTTTTGATCAAGTATTACAGTGTTGTATTACGTTTCGTGCACAATTTATTGCTCAGACTGAATCTTTTTTAAGAAGCAAGCAAATTCAACTACTAACATAGCTACTAATTTAGCAGTACGATAACTATGTTTATTCTCCTAGACAGATTCTTTTATTGAACCAGCTTACTAAGTGTAATTTTTAACGCACACACATTCAATATGACTACTCATCAGTCCAGTGGTGGTCAGAATATCTAACTAATTGAAAATAGGCAACAGTGTTACCCATTTGTACCGCATATATTTCAATAGCTTACGTTAATGATATCACAGGAGTTATATTTCCTTAGTGAATTTGCTCATGCCTTCTTTAGAGGGTTCGTAATCTCTACCATAAACAATTTCACTATTTTGTGACCAGTAAATACGTACTATTCACTAGAATTTCGGTAGTCAGTCATAAAGGGAATTCCGCATTTCTTTTGAAAGTGATATAGTCTTCAATCAGTAGAGGAATATAAATTTGCGAAATTTTCCACCAAGTTGTAATGGTTGGTCCTTCATATTTCATAAGCTAAGGCCTGCACTGAAGATGTGACCAATATTCTTGATATAACCGTCATGATAAAACATCAAATCCTGATTAGTAACCGGCAAATTCCACCTCTCACCAATAAGATCAAGTATGATACCTAATTCACTGAAATGTTACCTTCCATTTTTTACATATCACGGAACATAATGCATTTGGATGATTCAGAAACAACTGTATGTGCAGAATAAGGTGAACGCTTCACCTATTTCAGCAGATTCCTATCATCTGCACACTGCTCAAAGAGATTATAACGTTTGTGTACAGAAACATTCCAACGCACCTGTTATATAATGTCAGCTGAAAGGATGCTTCAGAAGTAATAAAGTGTCCAGAAATTACATTTATATCGCTGCTATGATGGAAGTTCAAGTCTAATGAATAAAATTTCCTGGCCGGGTAGAATGGCAAAAGAGATAATCATAAAAGCTTTAGGTTTCAACATTGTTTTCTCAGGGTTAGCTATTATGTCCATGGAAACAGAGTCAAATTTACTGCAATAAATGAGCACTGATCAAGTCACCGTTTTATGGAGTCACAGAAATTCACTCCACAGAAAATTGACTGTAAGAATTTCTGAATCTAAAAGATTTTGTGAAACAACGGTCACCCATAGACATTCATCAATCTGTATGACATATATGACGGTTTAAACGCTAAACAAACCACAAACCTTAATTGTGTAAATATTACAGGAACAGTAGACAAAAAGCAATCCTACCGATCAGTTGGTTCCACCATATCGAAAAAAACCTGCTCTTTGGTGTAGTCGACTTTCAACAGATATCTTTCTGATGTCGACTGTAACACCATATACAAATTCGTACATATTTGCGGTAGCAGTCACATCGCCAAAAAAGAAAGTAGGGAATACTGATTTTCTGAACACGTAACCAAATGCCTGCGTCTTAAAGAAACAAATGTTTGTAGTAAGGCCAGACATTTTGTTGATACGGAATGTGGTGTGGATATCATGAAATACTTAAATACTACCAAAAGTATAAGTAGTCATGCTTACAGAAACATTTACCATTACACGCTTAAAACCCGATTTATTTAAAGAAGTAGTTATCAATCTTCCATCACCGTGGTAACTGAATTTATTTGTATCTACCTCCCATTCCCTCTTTGGTGTAGCTTCCTCTGTTTCTCTTTTTCAGTTCAGTTCAGTTGAACTCATCACCTTCTTACACAACTAATTAGTTACTCGCCACCTTTCTCACCTCTTGGTTTCACAGTGTTACTATTTTTAGAACTTAAACTTCGCTGATACAAGCCATATAAATGCAGTTTCTGAACACTGATTCATACGTTTTGGGGCATCCCGCCAACTGATATTACGTACCATTAGAATGGTTCTGTGCATGAACGTGATAATTTTATTCATCTGTGAGCAGCTAATGTATAATTTGCTGAAATAAATGGAGATACCACCTTATTCTGCAGACGCACTATTTGTCATGCTTCATTCGAATCATATAAAGACCATAAATGTTTGACATTTTCATTAAGCCAGTTACCCGACTGAATGTTGTCCATCGGTAACTAAACGTGGAATTCGTAGTGGCTAGGAATGACCACATATTTATTATTTATCATCAATCTACCTCATAGTTAAGATTTTGCTACATGGAGTAAGAACTCAATTATGTGAATTCGAGTAAAGAACTAAGACTGGCTTTATGGATTTTACGAGAGGTAAGCGTCATATCTACCCTTATTGGTGCTGAGGAACGTGATAGACAACCTTAGTATGTTCAAAGACTAGGAAGTCAACCAAAGTCTATATCAGTACACAACTCACTGAGCATCTAATTTATCGAACCCACGGATTTCATCTGGATTAGTAATATTGGTAGGATTAAAATTTGCACCATTATTTCATAGGTGCAGGTTCACTGAAATTCGCTACTTTTTCTTTGTATTTACATTTTAGAATAAGCTGAACTTAAGTAACCTTCAAATGTTATGACAGTTGGGCAGAGGATATTAATAAACACTCACAAGTGAATTGAGAGGACTCATTCTGCAGATTTGCTGCCACCAAATTTATGTTCAACCAATAATCAATTAAGTGTTATTCACTTGTTTGTATAAATGTTTACATAATATGATAACAGTCAGCTGTCCACCTATCTCATTATACTTTACAAAATTTATGCCTAAATTCATAGTAAACCTACCATATCAGAGACGACATGTTATCCCTGGAAATAAGTGGGTCATTGCTGAGTCGAACGTTATTCAGCAGAATTACATTTAAAACAAGAAACCTCAACCCGATAGGCAACCATTAAGTAATATATTTTGAAACACTATATGAAATCGTACTCACAACATAGTAATCGAATAAGCACTTGTTCACCTAATCTCGACAGTCTATAACAATGTGATTCGGTAATTTTTAGTCACTCCATCTCAGCTGTTGACGTGTAGGAGTTCGAATTATAGTCAGAAACAATGGTCCACTATAAATTATTATTATGATTTATTATTGTATCCTTTAGTTCCTATTGGAACTAAGGGCTTCAGCTGCGCACCTCCATTGCCTTCGGTTTTCTGACAACTTTTTCACCCTGCTCCAGGTCTGTCCACATGCTTTCATCCCCTCCTCGTATGACCTCCTCCAAGTCACCCTCATGACGACCAACTCGCCGCTTCCCTTTCGGGTTCCACTCGAGGGCTTGTCTAGTGATGTCACTTGATGGTTTCCTCAGCGTATGGCCAATCCATCTCCATTTCTTCCTGCCTATTTGTTTCACAATCGGTTCCTGATTGGTTCGCTCCCAGAGATCCCTGTTGCTGATCTTTTCTGGCCATCTGATCTTGAGTATTGAGCGAAGACAGCTGTTAATGAAGGTCTGAAGTTTGTTTGAGATGCTCTTTATGACTCGCCAAGTCTCTGATCCGTATAGTAGTAGCACTGACTTCACATTGGAGTTGAAAATCCGGATCTTATTTTTGATGCTGAGTGCTGTTGACCTCCACACAGATTTGAGAGTAATGAAAGCTTGTCTTGCTTTTCCGATTCTGGCTTTGATGTCCTCGTCAGTTCCGCCTGTAGTTGAGACGATGCTTCCCAGGTAGGTGAAGGAGGTTGTTTCTTTCAGGTTCTTCCCACTTATGCTGATTGTTGTCTGTTGTTGTTGTTGCTGTTGATGTTGGCTAGGAATCTTCATCATCTCTGTTTTATCTATGTTCACGTGAAGTCCTATCTTTGATGCTTCTTCTGCCAACTTGTTACTTTTCACTTGCATATCTTCCAGTTTGTGGAAAATCAGACATATATCATCGGCGAAATCCAGATCCTCCAAGTCTTTTGTGTCAGTCCATTTTATGCCTGTTCCCTCGTTGGTTGCCGTTGTCTGTCGCATTATCCAATCAATTGCAATCAGGAAGATCATTGGTGATAGTAGACAGCCTTGCCTCACTCCCGTCCTCACTTCGAAGGCTTCCGTAAGTTTCCCGTTGTGGATTACTTGGCATGCAGCATTGTCGTATAACTGTTGGATGAGATGTATAATTGTCGATGGGACCCCGTAGTAGCGAAGTAGTTTCCAAATGACCTCTCGATCGACGCTGTCGAAGGCCTTTTCAAAGTCGATGAAGTTGAGATAGAGAGGTGACTGCCATTCCAAGCTTTGTTCAATGATGATCCGTAGAGTGGCGATTTGATCAATACATGATTTGTTTCTCCTGAATCCGGCCTGTTCCGGACGAAGTTTTTCATCTAGGGCTTGTTTGATTCTCTCCAGGATGATGCAACTTAGTATCTTGCTTGGAATGGACAGAATCATAATTCCACGTCGGTGGTATAGTGGTTAGGACGCTCGCCGACCATGCATATGGTCCGAGGTTCGACCCCCGGCCGGCGCACTCCTTTACCCCACTGAGCCAGAAATAATGCGGGTAAAGAGGAAAGGTTGGGCATGAGGCTAGCAACCCCATCCTGTAAAAATTAAACACTGCTACAGAAACTTCAAGCCACTAGCTTGGAGTCCTATGTTCCACTGGGAACGTGAAGGAAAAATTATTATTATTATTATTATAATTCCACGCCAGTTTTTACATTGACTTAAGTCTCCTTTCTTTGGAAGTTTGAATAAGTATCCGTTCTTCCAATCCTCGGGTACTTTGCCCTCTTTCCACACCTTCTCCAGCAGTGGCGTCATCAAGTCCGCTGTTGTCTCTGGGTCCATTTTCAATTATTCTGCTGGGATTCCATTCGGTCCTGCTGCTTTTCCAGCCTTTAGCATCTTGATTGCCTTCAGCACTTCTGATTTCTTCGGGGTGGGGGGCCGATGTTCACTGGTGGTTCTGCTTACGTTGTTGGTATTGTTGGGCGTGTTGTAGGTGGCGGACGATTTAGAAGTCTTTTGAAGTGTTCAGCCCAGTGTTTTCTTTGTTCCACCTCTTTGGTGATTGACTTTCCATTGTCATCCTTTACTGGCTTAATCTGTGTCGAACGTTTGCCCGAACGTTGCCTAGTTGTTTGGTAGAGTGTGGCGAGGTCTCCTTTGCCTGCAGCTTGTTCTGCTTCGTTTGCCATGGTTTCATAATATTTTCTTTCGTCTTCCCTGGCACTCTTCTTCACTCTTTTGTTCAGTGTATTGTAGCTTGAATTCAACTCCTGTTTTTGTTGCTCGTTGGTGCACTGGATAATCTTTTGTTTCACCATCCTTCTCTCTTCTATTAGTCTCCAAGTGTCCATAGTGAGCCACTGTTTGTTCTGCCTCTTCTTTCTGCCTAGAACTTCCATGCAGGTTTGACTCCACACCGTTTTCAAGTTGTTCCAGTGCTTTTCGACGCTGACCTTTTCGCTGGTGTTGATTTGTATCTCGGCTTTGTCCTTCATGCTTGCAATGAAGATGTCCTTTGTAGCCTGGTCCTTCAGCTTTTGAGTGTTGAACTTGGCTTGTGGTCTATCTGCAGCTCCTGATTCCCTGAAAGCTTTTAATTTGATTTGGATTGTGCCTTGTACGAGATAGTGGTCTGAGCCAACGTCTGCTCCTCTTCTTGCTTTTGTGTCCAGTAGGCTGCGCCTCCACTTCCTTGAGATTGAGATGAAGTGACAAATGTCTTGGATATATTGTACCGTGTGACATTTACAACTGAGTGAAGCTGGCACCCTTTGTTCTGTTTCTCTTTCGATTCGGAATTTAAATCTGTATGCTTGTGAGTTTTAATTCAAAAGATGCAATGGATATGCTGTGAAGAGTGATGGTAGGATGCTCATTGGCTGTCTCGAATCTTTCTATATAGTGAGCTTAAAACAAGTGTCGAGTTTAGCGTATTTCCCACCGCGACTTTTTTGATGTCATCACTTTCTTCCCAAGCAGCTTTACACTGATGCCAAAGATCTTGATGAGCCGTTGATGCGAAATACAGACGACATTATCATGGAATAAAGTGACTTGTGTCAATCAACTTAATTTAGTTGAGATAACAGCAATGAACAGAAATTTCATACAAGACATTTTAATGATACAAATTCTATTAGTTTGTTAATCTCAACTTTTCAAAGGTGATAATGTTTCTTGACCTTTTTAGTAGGCGCTTATGTGTCCGTATCAATAGCTTTGGATGCAATCACAGTGATATATTCCATGAGGCATCAGAGAAGCTTTTTACTAAGTTTAACACTTTTGTGTTCTTATAAACCATTTGAAATTTTTAGCTTAGCTCTAACAGCACTGGCTATTTCATTTTGCGCAGCTGCGAATTCACTCCTAGTTGAAAAATTCCAGCCTTAACCAACCCTGAAAATGACTTCAAACTTTTACTTTACTTTATCATATAACGATGCTGGTTTTACCGCGACAACTCTTATCGGGAAATCGTTTTCACTTAGTAGCCCAATGTATTAACACCATTAAAATGAATATTTGAATTCAGTTGGTTGAAAACTGTTGGAAGCATTTTGTGCAAGTCGGTGAAGTTATTCAATGTATCAACTCATATAAGCAGGTAACAAATCACAAAATGTCAAATGCAAATTTCACTAAATGTAAAATACAATCACTGTGTGATACAATTCGAAAATTAAATGATATAAAACAAAATATACCAGTATCAAGATTTTGCGCGCATATTACTAAGTTCAATGTAAGCGTAAAAATCAAATATCCTGTGTTAACACCTAGCATAAAATGTTTAAAGAAATATCTGTTCACAGAGAAATATCAACCCTATGTTCAAACAAAACTTACTGTTTCCATTGGAAAGTGTGATGGTACCTACAGGTTAGGAACAAATAGGAAAAATTTGCTATTATAAAATATTTTTGAGAGACTAGCAGATTTTCAATGTTCAAATCAGGAAAAATGGTCTTCAAGTACTGCGAAGCATCGTAGATTCGTGGCAGAAGATGGCATTTTCTTTCCTACGCCACGGAAAAAGTGGTTTCTAAATAAAGGTTTTGTCACCATATTCTTTGACATAATTAAAACTTATATACGGTTGATAAAAACGTGAAGCGTATTTATCTATTCGTTGTGAGATTCATTCGCTCATGCTTTTTTGACGAAGACTAAACTTCAGCTTATGCATGAAAATACAAAACTTGATTTGAATTTGCAAGTTATGTTTCATCACTTTTATGACTTATCAGTTTCACTTTTTTATCACGTTTTAATGTCTTTCCTTTAGGGTTCCATTACGAAACGAATTTTTCACTCGTTTTATACTGAAGAACTGATCGTCAACTGACGTTTAATACATTTCACGTAGTTATAGCGCCGCAAATAAACTGATCACCAAACCCGTGGCGAAAGTTTTATCAAATCATCTCGCTCCCAGTTTTTCTTCTAATAACTAGATGTTACTACAGCTTTAAATAATCCATAGTTCACTTGTAAAACCTTTTGAGCTAATTTAAACCTCCTCTGACTAACACATTCGTGTAAGAGAAACGTTGAAAAAAAACGAGTAAAATGTACTCACTTGTCTCAGATGGGCTCTCCTTCACTGAAATATAATGCGAGAAAGGCCAAATGAGATTCCTACTGACAACGTATTTAATCTTTTACGCATATTTGCTACAGTCCTACATACTTGGAAGTGAAATAGAGAATACTTACAAGTGACTGAGCTCATGGCGATACACCTACATATTTAGCTGGTACACAGTATGCTGTTCGGTGTAATTCAACAAACTGACAACGATTGAATAATTCCCTGAGCGTTATTTGTTTAGCTTGTGTACTAAGAAGCATTAAAAAATATAAGTTTACCTGTGGCTTCTAAATTAATGCGAAACAATCCAATCTGGATAAAACTTAAGGAAGATTGGAAGGAAAGCGACGAATAATGACAGCCAAATGATAATGCAAATTAGTTGTAGAACTTGATAAATAGAACTGTCATGCAAGTTATGAAATTTGAATTATGGAATGCTTCGAATGAAACGGATTTTATTATTCATTGTGAGTGATTCTTTATCAGCACTTTTTCCATGTTGTTCCAGTGAGGACCTCGACGCGCCAGCTTTGTTAAATGTTGGTGCTAGATTCGACCTCAGGTGAAATCATTGATGGTGATTTATATTCACCAAAGAAAAAGCATTGATTTGAAATCACGTTGGGATACCAGTGCATTAAAGGTTAGTGAATCTTTTATAAATGTGACCATGAGTATGCTCACTTAGATTGCACAAATATGTCTCCTGGGATTTCTTCAAATATCTCTCAAAGATTATTTTGTAAGGAATATTCGTTCACAGAGAAATATGAAACGAATGCTCAAACAAAACTTACTCTTTCCATTTTGAGGTGTAATGGTAACTGCAGCTTCGAAGTGAATCATAAGTTTAAATGTAAGTTATTCTTAATCAGCACGTTTCCATGTTGTTCGAGTGTGGTACTTGATGCTCTAACTTTGTTCAATGTTGGTGCCAGATTCGATACCAGGGGAATTCATTGATGGTGAATCGTATTCACCAGAGAATAAACTGTGATTTCGGACCATTCAGCTTTCAACGCACTTCTTACGATGGGTTACTTCCCACTGAACACCAATTCGAAAATTATTCGCCTTATAGAAGGTCATTTTGCAAAATAATACACAGTTACATTGATAATAATTGCTTTACTCTACACGAATGCGTAACACGATATAAGATAATCCCCCATTGTATTATTCTATTGTCTCCGGAAACTCCACAGCAACGGGTTGGAAGCCAGAACAAAATCTAGATGAGTACATTCACATATAATTTAACAGCTAAATAGGGAAAATGGAGGAAATGCTACGCATTCTGTTGGATGGCAATGAAGGTAATTGTGGGATGTGAGCAGGCCAACGTTGAACGAAATTTATAATCTAAAGTCATACCTGATACATATATATATTTTAAATTATTTTGGGTAAAGTGAATAAACAGTGTAACGGTGGAAGACGAAAAACTTGATACATTTTTGTTTATTTGGAAATCGATATCTCTGTAAAGCCAAAGCATGTACACCTTATGTTCAATGCTTAATTTGAACACATCTTCGTTTTGTACTTATTCTGGCCTTTATATTGTTTCGCTTCGGATTTCCTTTTCGAGTCCTCGATGAACCTCAACAACGCCATACCACTTGCCTTCCCTGGCAACAAATGTTTTCCAAAGAACGACTCTTTATCTACCATTGATATATCATGTCAATAGCACTCGCTACAAAAGCATTTAGACCTAATAAGCCAGGAAAATCCACAGTCGCAATCTGATTGCGAGACAATCTTTTGTTCCCTTGATCATGAGTGTGTGCATATTAGCTTCACGAGTATGTAAGCTGCGATTTCCTCAGACATTTCTAAATGATTATTTTGTGAGGAATCTCCATTCACAGAGAAATATCAAAGGTATGTTCAAACGGAACTTACTCTTTCCATTTGAAACTGCAACGGTACCTACAGCTTTCAAGTGGATTGAACAAAATTTGCTGTTGTAAAATATTTTTGAAAGACTAGTAGATTTTAAACGTTCAAATTTAGCCAGTTAATATACAAACTGTAAAGCATCTTATAGAGTTTAAGGATACTTAATAACATTGGAAATGCCATATGAACAAAAATAAGTAAACTCCGATTGTCTATGAAGAATTTCATCTTTGAGTACAAGATATATAAGCGAACAATATTGTATTCAATTAGATCTTCTTCAGGCTTTACCCTTATTTACAGGTATAAAAATTTAACCAATGACGGCGAGTGTGTGGATCAATAATGAATAATAATAATGTGGTCAATGTTTTGAACACAGTTAATAACGATGATTTTGATGATAAGAAAATATTGATAATAAGGTTTATGCATGTGGCGATAAGAATAACAAAGATAGTAAATGTATATATGTGTATATGTAGACAATTTAATAAATATATTACGACAAGCTGAAAAGCAGTTAACTCACACGCTGAAGGAGCTGAAGAAAAGTGAAATAATCTCAGAGGCAGCCTACAACCGTCTTTAACCTACTGGAAGTAATACTATACGGTTGTATGGTCTACCCAAAGTACATAAACCAGGAATTTGTTTTTGTTCACTCCTAGATATGTCTAATTCCACCCACGACGGAGTAGCTGAGTGTCTAGGTGAACTCCTCCAACTGTTACAAAAGATGGTAGTACACCATAGTTTTAAAGACGTTTCTGAATTCATTACTAACGTGGATGATATCAGTGTAAATGGGAAACAAATGCTCTCCTTTGATGTAGCATCACTGTTTACCAATATATCAGTTATGGAGACTGTAGAATCCATATGCCAAAAGATATTAGAAAAACAGACCGATATCGGAATTCCAGTTATTAGCCTCAAAAGAATTTCTTTTAGGATGTACAATAAATGTACATTTCACATTTAACAACCCTTACTAAATTCAAATTGACAGTTTCGCCATGGGTTCTCCATAAAGGCTAATTTTGGCAGATTCCTTTCTTGCCAAGATTGAACATGGTTCATTGAAACAAGTAATGGAGAGAATCAATTCTTATTTACGTTATGTTGATGATACGTTTACTATTCTTGATGTGAAAGCTGACAAGAATGAAATGTTACAAACGTTTCGCATTTTCGATGTAGCTCAACAACGCCGTGCCATTTGCCTTCTCTGTTAACAAATGTATCTCCCTGTTGTTTGATGTTTTTATTCCAATGTACTACTCTTAGTCTACCACTAGTAAGTCGTGTCGACAGCACTCGCCACAGTAGCATTTAGACCTAATAAGCCTGAAAAATCCACAGTCACAATCTGATTGATAATTAAATGAAAGTACACAGCGAGAGAAATCTTTGTTAATTTGATCATGAGTGTGCTCATACTGAATTCACGAATATGTCATTTTCGATTTTCTCAAACATCTGAAAATGATCATTTTGTAAGGAATCTCCATCCCCAGAAGAATATCAAACGTATGTTCAAACGAAACTTACTGTTTTCATTTTGAGCTGTAATGGTACCTACAGCTTTCAAGTTAATCGAATAAAATATGCTAATGGGGAAACAATTTTGAAATACCATTAGATATTTAACAGTACAAACTTAGCCATTTAATATAAAACTGTAAAACAACTAATAGAGTTTTAAGGATACTTAAGAAAATTGGAAAAGCGGTATAAACAAGAAATAAATCAACATCGATTGTCCATGAAGAATTTGACCTGATGCAATATGATTACTTTTCATTGTTTTTCTTTATTTTGTACAGCTGATTATTTGTCAAACACCATTTTCCCTGTCAGTCGTGCTGGCTGTGGAAAAACTGTAGATAAAATGTGACAATATATCGTTCATAAATATTTGTCTTGTTGGCGGGCATAGGCAACTAGTTGTTCACATCTGGTTTCAGTCTGAATAAATTAGGACAAGCCAATGAAGCTAACTCTAAGCAAACGAGTCCACTTTACTTTGAAGGCTCTGAAGTTATTCATCACTGGATGTCTTATTTTCAGGATTTCCATCCAAAAAGTCGAAATATTCCGAATCTGAACAGACAAATGAATGAGTACTTAACATAGAAATTATCACTATCATGACTGCTATAATGCTCATCTCTGTGAACTGTATCCACTAAATTGCAGTCTGAAATGCAAATATATTTGATAGACACTCCCCTAAATTTGGTATGTCGTCGTATAATTTTCATTATCAAACTTGGTGACATTTGTGTGAGATACGATAGCGGAAATCGAATGAAATAAGACAACATATTAGTGAATAGAAGATTTGTCTTCCCAATGGATTTCATCCTGA